TGATGGGCTCCTCGATCTCTTTGTAGAAAAAAATGTACATCAAATCGTGGAACTAATTTGCTTTATTATGAAAGCGTATTTATCGTTTTACATTATTTTTTGCGTTCAACCATTTTCTACTCCTATAACATTCCTTTTTTGTTTTCAGTCAAAGTTTGCAACACTGTTTTTGTTCTTCACATGACTTTGAATTAGTATGAATTTTCATAAAATAAACGAAATGTCTAACCTTAAATAGTTATACGATTTATGAAATTCCTTCGCATAGTATTCATAGACATAGTGTAATTTTATTTTTCGTCTTTGTATAGCCTAAACTTTTAAATATTTAACAAGTGCGACTTATTATTTCTTTTTAAGAACAATCGATAAATGACTTCTCAGGTTTTCCTTCCTTTCTTAAGATCAAAAAAAAAAAAATCACTATGCCACAATTTCAAGTTTAGCATGACATTTTTAGCCAAAAATCGAGATCGAGCTCAGCCATGTCTTTAAAAACATTTTTTGCAACTTCCTGTCGCTGTAAACTGTGCAAATCTTTTTGACGATTGCATGTATTGTATTGACCTTTTTTTCTAATTTCTCCTTATCATGTTAAAAGAAGAAACGTTAAAATTACCATAAAATAAAAATAATTGCTAGTGACCTATAAACAATTCCCACAGTTGTTGAATTTTCACTATTCTCAATAATAATAGTCAGCGCCCAACTGTTGAAATTTTTCTATATTCTCTGCTTAATTAAAGAACTTTTACAATAAATGTGAATTCAATTTGTTTACCTTTCTTCTGCAAACCTATTGCCTCTTTATTTCTATTAAAGAAAAAAATTTATCAAATCACATTCGTTTTAAGCAATGAACTCATATGGTATAGGAGCCAAAGTTATGGGTTCTTCCAATTTTTTTACGAAATGACCTTTTCTAGGTTGAGCTGGTTGACGTTTTAAACTTACGAAAACACCTTTTTCCTTGGCTTCTTTCAATCGGCGTTCATTTTCTTTCACTCTCCGCAAGAAATCTTCGCGGCACTTGGAGTGCTGCACATGCTCGATGCGTACGTTAATACGCTTGGGCAAAACTTTGCCACGGACCCTTTTATTAACTATAACGCCAACTGCATGTGATGTTACATTAAACACTCTCCCTGTCTTTCCATGATAAGCCTTGTATGGCATGCCTTTTTGAACGGCACCGTTGCCTTTTATGTCTACAATATCTCCATTTTTGAAGACCCGCATATATGTACCTAGGGGAATAGTACCATGGCGTCGGAACGGGCGGGAGAACATGTCCCTAGTGCCGCGACGATAGCCCTTTGAGTTAGTCATTCAGTGTTTTCGTTTAAAGCCCTATAAACATAAATACAAGATTTTTTACTTTTAGAGCTCCAATTACCAAATTACTTCTTGTTCAGTATTTTAACAGATTCCTTTCAGCTTCTTAGCCATGTTTTTATAAAAATAATCACCAACCTTTCGTTAGAAATTTTCCACGCGGTAGCAGTTCTGAAAAAGAAGAAATCTTTATACAGTGCAGAATTGCCAGATCTTTTACTTATAGAATTTAGTAGTATACAAATAATTGGTAATAAGCCTCATTATGATGTTTTGAAAGCACTAAACACAGTAATAGCTGCTATTCGCTTTTTGCTTCACGCGAACGCATGAGATAAAGTTGATTGTAAGCGTTTATGCGTCGTTGTCAAAGACAAAAGATAAATGTCAACGACCTATTATAATGCGAATGTTTCTAGGATTTTGACTTTAAAAAAATGCACGCATCTTGGAGATTGTAATGCTTTAAACATAACAGCGAATATATACAAATTCTATTATTTCCTTCCTGCAGTTACTAGCGTAAAAAGTAAAAATTTTGTCAAGCATCGGCAATAGTTGACCCATTTCTTTTAAACTCAGGAAAACATCGATTACAGTTTTAATATATTCAACATTTTTAGTTAATGTTTGCTTTTCGCTTGAGTTAGTCAGTTTACCGTAATGCACATATTTGTATTGGATGAGGTTTTTCTGGTGGACAAAGAAGCCACTTGTTTCATCGATTGATCCGACAACATTTGTTTTGAGAAGAAAGTCCCGGCTTCTCGGTTTTCTGCATCAACGTTTGGGTACCGTGATAGGCGTGTTGCGATTTATTTTAAACGGCTAGTATACCCTTTAGGCCTACACCATTGGTTAACTTACTTTAAAATTATAAAAATATTTATAATAAAATATGTATATAATAATAACAACAATTAAAAACCCCCGGAATTTTTACAATTCCTCTGAAGATTTGCTCATATTTTTAATAAGCTACGAGTGAGGGGTTTTTGGATGTCTTTCTTTACAAGCCTTGTGACTATTAACTTATTTGGAAATGCACATTAATTTTTCTGGCGAGCCTTTTCGAAAATGTGATTCGCCTCCGAACCACTTTTAAATGGGAAAGGTTTTTCAAACGTTTCTCTAACCCACATTTCCGCTTATTTTATAAATATCGTTTTTAAACTGTAAACGGCGTTAGAAACTTTTAAAACTTGAACTCTTCTATGATATTTTACTTATATTACTGCTTTTTTTTAATAAATAAATAATAATAAATATAACTAAATAATTCTATTTATTACTTGCAATAAATTCGAGATATGTTTGTGCACTAGACTTAATAAACTATTGCGAATAGATACTGCAGCAGACAAACCTACAGCCAAATGCTTCTTCATGATGGGCGGCACTCTCTTTAGCTTTCTGACCAATCCAGGCTTTCCTATTTTCAGGCAAGTTCGCTACAAACAAGACATTTCATTGAGGTTAGCTTCATTTAAAATACATATCATACCCATTTGATCTAAGCCCAGTTTGCCGAATATTACAGAATGTAGGAACGCATACTCTAGAAAACTAATTTTTTGAAAATTTAAAATCTTTCCAATATTTTTTCCGTCATATGTGTATGCATGCATGAGTAGAAAGCTTAATAGGCTACTGCGAAGTCGTTTTACACCGTGGCTTTTGCGCTGTCCGCGTTATTTCAGCTTCCAAAAAAGTTTTACGTTACGGTCATCTTCTAAAGTAACACCATTCACCGCCATACCTTTTACAGCTACTGATATACAGTGAAAATATAGTAAGACGACAATCCAAATAAGTTTTTCACACAATAATAACATCTTTTATTTTGAAAGACGGAATCAACTGCGCCCGCTTCATATTATTTTAAGCCCAATTTTATAAAAATCAATCGATCTGAATTGTTTGGCTCTGTTTGTATAAATAATAATACGCAAAAGGTGGCCAATTCGTTAAGAAACAGCTAACATTTCAATTTACTTAAGCAGCATGCAATGAAATGGTTATTATTAACGCGTTGGCGTTCGCTTTAAAATCAGTGAGCGTTTGCAAAAATGATTCATATTTGTCGCCACCATTCTTTTGACATCAACACTAGAAAGAACACGACCTTTGCCGAACGACAATTGGAAAACATTTTCGTGTCTTATCGGTTTTAGCGAAAAAAAATTTAAATAAATGACAACTTAAGAAGGAAAAAAAACGGAAAAAAAAATTTTTAAAAAGAAAAGAAATTTTTAAAAATTAAAAAAGAATATATATACACATTAAATTTTTTCGTTCTTCGTCTAGATTTTTGCTAAGTGTTCCCCGAGATAACAGCTAAAACAACATCCCCATGGAGACAGAGTGGGATCTAATTAACACAGATAAAGATGATTTTGAAGAATTTTTATGATTGCCACTGAGCATATTAAGAGATCGAGGATGGGTGGGGATGAAGTTGCTTTATCTCTCAAAGGAGAAGCTAAAGCTAATGATTTTCCGGAGACTAGAAAACGGGTAGTTAATAATCCTTCTGATTTGGTTGCCAAAGCCATTCCAAATCACGATATCAATTTGTACGATAGTATGTCGCAGTGCAATTTCTTAGTTTTTGTTGAAACGTGAAATGTAAGAACGAAAAATGTTTAGCAGGAGCACAGCTAAATTGCTTTTCATCTCTGCTCTTAATGCTAACAACTTTGTCATAAACAATAATTTTGATAACAAAAAAATTTTAAAGTGTATATTCCGAGATCTTTCACGGAGAGGTTGGGAGTTATTCGCAACGTCCCCATTGTATATGGTGTATACGAGATAATCGAAAATCCTGTGTTATATTCCTATTAAGTCCCCTGTTAGGTTTCGAAGAAGAAATCTTAACAACAAGGACGAGTTTATTTCCACCACGAGTTATAAAATTGGTGGGCATGTGTCAAAGTTCTGTAAAGCCAAGGAGGATAGATATCTGAACTACAGGAAGTGTCCCAAGTGCGAAAACTGTGAAATGATGAGATGCCCAAGGCGATCACAACGCTCTAAACAACTGTTGCCAGAACGGGGAGTGGGAATTAAATATCAACAAGATGATGGCCATTAAAATTATCTCCTATAACGAAGGGAAAGAGAAGGTTTCTTCAAATTACTTTGAATGTCTGGATGACAACTCCTACGACGAGAATTTCCTTCTATTGGCGAACTCGTCCGCTATTCCGAGCATGATAATGAAAACGCTAATAAGACTTTAACAAAGAAGAAATTTAATGCGTTCGGAAATCTGTTATATTCAAACTTTCTCCCATATCACTTTTCAAGCCTTTTCCCAGCTCACCCCCCAAGCCATCTGTAACAAGATCTCAGGGGCCAATAATTTCGAACAACAATTTGAGTTCCTTGGATCTGGATAGATTAATCTCTGCGCTTAAAGAATGTATCCGTCGAATGATCCCTCTGAATCTTTTTGAGGAAGAAAAAATGTCTCATTGTGCTAATACTCTCTACGATCAAGCCCCTACTATTACGAGTAAATCCGCTGGGATTCCGTTTTTATTTCAAGCTTTAATTTTATATAATATTCACAATGTTCGACGTAACTTATCATTTTTGGATTTTTACTTGAACTCGAATAATATTGATTTATGTATCTTAAGTGAAGTTTTACTTGACAATGAGAATTTTTTTGAACCTAAAGTTTCCAATTGTACTTCAGTCACCAAATCCCGAGATGACAGTTATGATGGTGCTAGTGTACTAGTTAAAAAGGGCGTTAATTTCAGGCGTATTCCCTACAATTCTGCTGACATAATCATCATCAAAACAATAAATCTTAAACCGAATCTTTTCATAGCATCATGCTACTTTCCTCCCAGTCTTGATGTACAAACTTTGTAGAGTGGTCGCGGCGCACAGTGTCTTGGATCTAACTTTTTCTAGTTTAACTATTTTATCACTCAACTGGAACACGACTAACGTCTCCATTGGCGATAGTCAGCCCTCTCCCATTTTATTTATTTCAAAGTGCTTTTCAGTCTGTGATCAAGTCTGCTAGAACCAACTTTTCTGATATTGAGTCTATCTCACCTAAACCTTGGTGGAACTTTTCCCTGTCAACACTTTTTCGCAAATACCAAACTGCAAGGAAAAAAATTAGTAAATTTCATTGAATATGAAGACACTTAAGGAACGGAGGTCTGCATTTAGAAAGGCGTTAAAGAGTTATGTGATAATGGCAATTCGCGTTTTTTCTGGGATTACATCAATGGTCATTGACATTTCAGTCGAAAATTAAACGGTTCCGTTCTGTGGACTAACTATGATGATAAAACACAAATTTTTTATCCAGGCGTGTATTGGTAATGGGTACAGAGAAAATTGAAGTATACGATGGTATTCCACAAGGCAGTTGTTTAAGCCCCTTACTCCTGATTCTATACACAGATATTTTGCATGACCTCAAAATGACAAAACTCATATTTTTCAACATGCAGATGATTTCCAAATTGTATCTGCGGATTAGTCTTTTGCAGTAGCTGTGAATAATCTGTTGATAGTATGTAACGTTTTTTGGATGCATCCGTCGACCTTAATTTATATTTTAACCCCAGCAAAATAAATACTTTTTGTTTTATAAAAGGTCTTAAACGTGAAATCAAAGGAGCTAAAGTTAATTAGGTGAAATCCCTCCGATATCT